AATGACAACTATATCCCAGTTTTTGTTACTAAAAAAAAAACTATGAAGTACAAGAACATTGAATAAAAAGGCTTTCTGTTTTTGTAGCCTGCCGGCAACGACTTGAAGTTTTTGGACATACCTTTTATTTTTTTTGGATTTGGGGAAGAAATAATTTTAATTTGGTGGAAGTACTTGGGATCCGGGAAAGAAATAGGACTTTGAGTTGGGGAAGAAGAGAATTTTTATTTACCATTTTCTGGTTGATCTGCCAGGCTGCTCACACAAACAGGCTGAGCCATTCCAGAGACCACCCTCTACCTGGACATCAGGCAGCTGAGGAAGGGAACCCCTTCACAGCAATCACATCATAGGGTTTATTAAGGACAATTCATATAATATTTAATAATAATTTAATTTTTTTATAACCTATACTTATATCCTTGGATACTTAGGCCGTCAGCCTAAGTGGGTTTACGAAACAGCGTTGTGCACAATCTCTGCTAGTACCCTCACCTTGCTGAATCCTTTTACTTGTATTTTTATTCTTTCATACTCATTTTGCATTTCTTTTTTTAATATTTTATAGAACCCTTATATTAAGGTGTCAGGATATATTATCCAATTTATGGTAATCTGTATGTACCTTTATATATCAGATTGAAGTATGTATGGCTCTAGGTTCTTAACTGACTAGTTTCAGATTTTAAACTGCCCAATGGTAACTATTTAATTATTTTATATTTTTATTACTATTTACTCCATGTGAGATAGTTCAATATTGTTAACTTAACCTTTTCCTCATTGTTAGAGGACAGTTAGACCAACTTGTGTATATATATTTTTTGGGTCATATTTTTAGTAATTTTTTCTTGTAAATATATATTTTGGGAATATACGTTAACAATTCTTTAGTGTATATAAATATAGGGCTGGGATAATAGAATTATAATATATAGTGTATAAAGCATTTCAGATTTTTATTTGTTTCCTATCTTTTTTATTTTCAGTTATATAACCATATATACCTCAAATTGGAGTGAAATTCTAAATTCACCCTGGCGCCCATCCCAAGATCATCTTAGGATTGATCTGCTCTAACTTCAAGTTACTACAGGCAAGCAAACGTGCCAACCTCCTCTCTGAGAACTCTCATTTGCTTGAGCTAAGCCTAATTCTTTGTAGTGCTCTCAGTAAATTTTCTATTTTCTTTTATATTCATTACATTCCTGGTTATTTAACCTTTTTATGTAAATAATTATAAATTAATTTTAAATTCTATTTAACCATCCATTTTATTTAATTTTCTAATATTGACTTCACTATTCCATAGTTTCCCCTATTTCATTGGTAACAATTCACCATTCCCTAGTTCTCCCTCCTTTGATTGGTAACAGCAGTGCAACAGTATGACACGTCTCGATTTCATAGCAATTAATTTAAATACGTTTAAAGCTACCCTGCACAGTGTGTACATTCTGCTACAACTTTATCTATAATGATAATAAAGTCGGATTTAGTTTAAAGCTATTTTCAATTAAATAACGGATCATATTGTTCGCAGCAAATAATTTAGTTTTGTGGGTTTTATTTACCAATTATTGTGATGCAATTTTATCTATTTTGTATAAGGCAGGTATGTTTTCTATCCATTCATTATTTTTAAAACAAAATAAATACTAAGTCAGATTTACGCTGAGAACGGAATTGAAATAGGTTGTTCTTGAATTGCTTGTGCTTGAACAAAATATATCTTTTTGCAGGTTCTTAGCCGTGTCTCACCGGCTAAAAATCTGCCGCTTCAGACCTCTTATTCAAAAAAAAGTTGAGGAAGCAATCCTCAATTTGACGGATAGTCAGGACGAGTTCGATAGCGAACTGGATGAACTAGAGAATGATGATGACCTAGATGTATGACGTATGCCAGTAGAACTAGAAGATGGAGTTGTAATACAACCAGAAGAATTGTAATAAAACCAGTAGTGAGTATTCAGATAGTAAAATTAATACTGTGAATAATACTGAAGATCCTCTATCTGGCTCTGTGTCATTGCGGAATACCAAACAGGAAGCACAGGAATTCAAAAAAAGTATACTTTTCAGTTTTCAGGGAAAAATCCGTGCTTCCTGAAAATATTCTTAACCTCTCAACACCTACAGCTTCTATATGTATTATTTCGATGATAGTCTTTTTGAAAAAATCCACACGGAATCTAATTTGCATTAGACATAAACTAATCCTAGTAAACCTGCGATGCTTACTACTAATGATATAAAACAATATGTTGGCTCTACACTAGTGGCCAAAATTCTGAAAACTTTACAAAAATTATCGTTTTTTTAGCAAGACTCGTCTCATGATCATGATTTATATAGTTTACCATTACAATTACATCTTTATTTTATTGTTTTATATTCCTGCATAATATTTTATGTATTTCTCACTCTTTTTTTATTAACATCAATATTTAATAAAATATGGAACCAGATTCAAGCGAAACGCCGAAAATCCGAGATTTGTGAATGGCAACATTGGCAATACTGTATTGCGTCAGGATTTTGCTAGTCAGTCAACAACCTAACTGGAGGTGGTTAGGTGGCCTCTAGTACAGTTTCATGCGCCTTCCAGTGTTTATTGTTACTAAGATGATATTGTTTAATTGTCGGAGAGGAATTCATCAGCGTCGATTCAACGAAAATGACAACCAGAAACCCAAAACGTGTTGACTGGTCGCCAGGAAAGAGAGCCAAAGCAATTATCCTTCGAGAAGAAGGTTACACTTATCAAGAAATAGCAAACAAATTGGGTGGTGGCGCCACAAAACCAGGTGTAATGAAAGTTTGCAAACGTAGAACGACAAAATCAGCAAAAAGATCTGGCGGAAAACCCAAAGTTAGCCACTACGATGTCCGTAGAATATGCCGACTTTCTTTAGAAGATCGTCGCAGATCCGCAAAAGATATTAACGGTATTGTCAAATCAACTGGATTACAAATATCGGACCGCACTATCAGAAAAAAAGTTGTGTGAAAACAGATTGCGAGCACGAATTCTTAGAAAGAAGCCGTTCCTGAACAAAATACAGAGGCAAAAACGCATTGATTGGGCTTTGGCACACAGAGGGTGGACAGAAAAACAATGGAGTAAAGTAACTTGGAGTGATGAAACCAAAATCTCAATCTTTGGGAGTGACGGAGTGAAGTTTGTTCGCCACCGACCGGGAGAAGACCTTTTGCCCCAGTGTGCTACGGTCACTATGAAGCATCCTGTGAGTGTCATGGTATGAACTTGCATGACCACTAATGGAGTTGGACGTTTATCAGTAATAGAGGGCAATATTAATGCAAAAAAATATCAGGAAGACATACTGCAAGCCAAACTTCTGTCGACTATCAGAGATTTGTTTGAAGGGGATGCCCAACAATGCATCTTCCAGCAGGATGGAGCACCTTGTCATATGGCTAAGACTTCCATGGAATGGTTGAGAAACCATGATGTTACTGTTCTGCCTTGGCCTGGAAATAGTCCCGATCTAAATCCAATAGAAAATTTATGGTCAAGGCTAGCCTTAGTATCACGCCGAAACCCAAGCAACAAGAGAGAACTGATAGAAGCCATTATTCAAAACTGGTTTAGAGTTATTACACCAGAAGATATGGCTCGTCTAGTCAACTCCATTCCTCGCAGAATTGAGTCTGTCCTAAAAAACAAAGGTTATCCTACTAATTTTGTTGATAATAATCATTGTACCATTTTTTTTAAAATATATCTACTAATAGCTAACAGCTGTTTTTTTATTTATTTTTAAATTTTTAGAGGATTTTCCCCCTTAAAATAGATAATAAATATTAAGTAGAAGCATAAAACGATGTAATAAAATTATAGATAAACTTATAAATAACATAAGTCTTGTGAAAAAGAGGAATGCTAATAATAAAATTAAAATTTTTAAAAAGTTTCCAGAATTTTGGCCACTAGTATATATCTGTATATACATGTCGTTAGTAAAGATGCCAAACGTTAGAAGTTACTGGTCCCATGCTTTAGGACTTACCCAGATAAAAGAAGTTATACCTCAAAAAAAAAAAAAAAAAATTCGAAAAAATTCGCCAATATCTACGTTTTAATGACAATAATTTACTGGTACCAGAAGATCATCCTAATCATGATCGTTTACATAATCTTCGGCCATTTATTAATGCACTCAACAGAAACTTTCAGTCAGTTCCTCTTCAAAAATATTTATCTGTTGATGAACAGCTATGTGCCACCAAAGCTAGACACCATATAAGCAATATCTTCCAGCGAAACCCCATAAATGGGGATACAAATTGTATGTTCTCTGTGAAACGAAAGGTTTTTCATCTAGTTTTGAAATTTATACAGGTACAAAAAGGATCCGAAATTTCGTGAGATAAATGAACCCGATTTGGGATCAAGTACAAACGTTGTTGTCAGGCTTTGTCGAATAATACCTTGTATTAAAAATTACAGAGTCTATTGTGATAATTTTTATACTTCAATACCTTTGATGGTCTACCTATTACAACATGGTATTTACTCGTTGGGAACGGTAAGACGATCGAGCAACTCAAAGAAGAACCCAGATGATCTTCTCATAAATTCGTATGTGATATTGATGGTGTTGAGGTATTTTCAAGACACCAGGACTGACCCCATTGGTCACTGGCCTACATATGATGAAGGTGCAAATTACCAAGCTTTAAGTCAGTCTCCTTTATAAAATGTTCTAAATGTGGTGTACATCTTTGAACAAAAATAATAACTTTTTTGTAAAATTTCACGAGAACTGAGTTTGTCTCTTTGATGCGTAATATCTGTCAAAAACAGATCTGTCATAACATTTTTGTGTATAATAAACTATTTTTGCATTTTTTCCTGGTTTTTTAGATACACTTACATTGTCCAGATTTTTTGGAAACGAAATAAAAAATTGCGCAGTGTAGGGTTAAAATACAGGACTTAAATGATAATTCTATAAACACACATATTGATTTACCTTTAACTTAAGGTTGGTATGTATAAATAGCGGAAAACCCTTCAGTTGTGTACCAACGTAGGTTTCTTCTTCGGGCGTTATAAAACCGATGATGCCGACGGAATATTCTCGACAATACTTATCCAGCAACTCTCGATTCCAGTTGTCCATTTGGAGATATTTGTTGAAATTCTCGAATACTATCACACCGTATCGACCTTTGTCTAAATTAGTGAGCACTGGTACACTTTTACCGCTGACTTCAATTTTGTACCTAAAAAAAAACGATTAATAATTGTAAAAAAGCTTATTTTTGTGAGTTTACTAAGTAAATGGATTCGGTCACACTTTATTTTACTTTAATTTTAATATTAATACAGTAAAAGTTTAGGATTCAAATTAGCGTTGTAACATTAGCGCGTGTAAAAAATGTCGACATTAACATTCGTATCTATAGCAAACATATAGAACCAGTACAAAGATTCCAGATATGAGAATCAACCCACAAGACCAACATTTGACTTATCATTTAAAAATGAAGGCTTTAGAGATAATTCTACTTTTGCATCAAACTCAAAGTACCAGTCTAGGGCTGATAGCATTGTTCAAGACGAATCATCCGAAGAAAGTCCCATCATGGACAAAAGTGACATAACTTCATATCCTCCAAGTGAATATTACAATACAGACACTTTACCGCTAAATAACAAATCAGATTCAACTTTGAATTTAAAAAGAGGCATAGAAGAATCTAATAAGGGTTATGATTACAGTTTGATGCAAGAACTAAAGAACAAATTACCTCAAAAGAAACCACCGACTCCCCCTAGAAAATATTCCCCAACTTATTCGGACCAACTCGGAAATATGCAGTTTTCTCCCGATTATAATACAATGTGCTTAGCCCATCCCAGTGAAACCAGATCACAATCGGCGAGTCTTTTACAAACCGATTTCGATGAACCAGTTCCCCCTAAGCCTAAACCAAAAACTAGAGCACGAAGTGAAGTTTTATTAGAAACCAATTTTGACTACACTCCACCAGGTGGTAGTCCTCAGTTTAATGAACCTCTCTCTGATGCTAGTAGAAGTAGAAGTCAACCTTTAGAGACTGCGATGTAGAATGTAAATATCAAAATATAACGAAATTCTGCAAGAATATACCTGAATCTTATCTAGCTCTAATCGTCAACATGGTTGTTAAACCTATAGACTACCTGACGACTGTCAGGTGGTCAACAATCTCGGATTAGAAGTTTTGGGTTTGGGTTGGTTTTGGGTTTTCGAATTAGAATGTATGTGAATAGAAGGAAATATAACTCAAGATATAGAGAAGAAACAATTAGATGGTATGGGCATGTTCAACGGATGCCAGCAACAAGACTCCCCAAAAAAGTAGTAGAATGGCAACCGATAGGTCGACGGAAAAGAGGAAGACCCAGATTAGAATGGAAACACGGCGTAAACAAGTCCATGAGCGAAATAAATTTAACAATTTAACAAACGACTGCGAAGATAGGAAGAGATGGTGTTTAGGTATCGGACAACGTCGAAAGACGTTCTAAACCGATGTATATATACAAAGATTCCAGTATCTTGGTTGCTGGATAACAAACAATATTGACCACGAGATCGAAATACGTGCTCGTATAGAATATGCTAGGTCCGCATTTCAAGGAATGCAAAAATTCCTAATACACTCGATATCCAACGTTATCGTTGGATATCCGAGACCAATTTGCAAAATCGTTTATTTATTCCATATTGATAAACGGAGTGGATACATGGACTATCGGAATTATAAGTATGAGGCGTATAGAAGCCTTAGAGATGTGGGTTTTTCGAAGGATACTGAAGATCTCTTGGAAAGAGCACGTGACCAACAACGAGGTGCTAAGAAGAATGGGTACTGAGACAGAACTAAATATTGTAAAAAACAGAAAAACGCGTTATCTAGGACATATTTACAGAGGAGAAAAATAGAAGTTTTAAATAGAATTTACAGAGTTGAAGAATGTAAGAGACTGGACAGCCATTAACACACATTCGACACTAAGAACAGCTCAAGATAGAGAGCAATTTGCGGTAGTTATAGCCAACCTTCAGTAATGGAGAAAGCACCTTAAGAAGAACTGACCTTCAAAATAGACGGTCATCGACGGGAAGCGTTGTTTCTGAAAGAACGGTTCATTCTACATAAAAAGTGCTAATAAAGATTTTTGTTTAAAATTATCTCAGCTACATTTTTTATTTGAAATATTTTTTCTAGGGCGTAAAGATTCTTGGTAAATCGATTTTTTTTTGCGTTTTAACCTCCCTATGAGGGTAGTTTTAGGAGGAAGCCCGGAGGTAAAAGTGGGAAACTTTTTTGGATCTTTTTTAGCATCCCAAAATTAATATTCTCGGCAAAATCCAACTTATTCGTAGTATTTTTAAGCGTCTACTCTATGACGACTGCTATACACACAAAAAATGCAAAAGGGTTATGCGCGATGTTAAAATCTCAATAGGTCCAGGTGCAGATAGACAGACAGCTACATAGCATTCCAACACTATCTTCATCATCATTCATCAATCAGCCAATCGTGTCCACTGCTGGACATAGGCCGCCCTCAGTTCTTTCCAGTGTTCTCTACACTGGGCCGCTTGTAGCCAGTTTCCCGCTACACGTTTTATATCATCGGTCCTTCTAGTCGGTGGTCGTCCTCGGCTTCTTTTATAGTTTCTGGGCCTCCATTCCATAATACGTCTTGTACACCGTCCATCTTGTGCTCTGGCTAAGTGCCCTGCCCAGTTCCACTTAAGCGACGTGGTTCTTTCGATGACGTCTTGAACTCCTGATCTTTGCCCGATTTGTTGGTTTGTTATGTGGTCTCGAAAGCTTACGTCCAGCATTGCACGTTCCATGGCTCGTTGTGTAACTCTAAGTTTATTCGCAGATTTTTGCGTGAGTGTTAAAGTCTCTGCTCCATAAGTTTGTACAGGTAAAACACATTGGTTATAAACCTTTCGCTTGAGACACATGGGAATCGAACTTTTTAGAATATGGGTTAATTTGCCAAATGCTGCCCAAATTAGGCCTATTCGCCTCTGTATTTCATGTGTTTGATTGTGTCTGCTTATTTTGATTTCGTGTCCCAGATATTTGTAAGTGTCTGTTTGTTGTATGGTATTATTGTCAATAGTTATATTTCCACTCATTACGAGATTTGTTATAAGTTTAGTTTTCTCAAAGTTTATCTTTAATCCTGCTCTTTCAGACAGACTTTTAAGCGAATGCATCATATAAACTGTATCTTGTAAATTATGTGCGATTAATCATCTGCAAATATTAGGTAATTTAATTTTTCTCCATCTATATTGATGCCCATATCTTGCCATGGAGTGCTCTTAAATATTGACTCTAGAGCTGCCGTGAACAATTTTGGTGAAATATTGTCTCCCTGTCTAACTCCTCGACCTAAGCTGAATTTTTCTGTGTCTTCGTGTAGTCGTATACTTGATGTAGCGCTCTCGTAGATGTTTTTAATTAGTGTCGTGTACCTGTAATCTATTCGGCTTTGATTTAGGGCTTCCAGTATTGTTTCAAACTCTACAGAATCAAAAGCCTTCTCGTAATCGACAAATGCAAGAACCAGTGGTATGTTATACTCGATGCACTTTTCTATTAAGATCTTTATGGTATGCAAATGGTCATTTGTGCCATATCCTGCCCTGAAGTATGCCTGTTCTTTGGGCTGATAGGAATCAAGTTTAGGTGTTAGCCTCTTTGTTAAGATTTGATAAAGAGTTTGTACATATGTATCAAGAGGCTGATGGGAACACTACTTTACAATCTACAAATTTTGGATCCTTGACTAAGAGAGGTAATTTCCAATATTATTTTATCCATTATCAAATTACTTAAAAATGCATCATTTAGAACTACATAAAATAAACCAATATTATTGTCCAACATCAAACTTTCACAAATCTAATTATGAAACTGTAGAAACGAAAAGTTTACTTACTTTAACCGGGTGTGGACAAGAAGCTCAGCAATACTTTTTCCTAACTGGGAGTACATCGTTTCTACAAAAACTAAAACTTTAGGGTAACTACGCAGTCTTGCATCTGATTTGTGATCGTGGTTTTGCAAAATCCTGGGGCCGTTCATAACACCACATCGAATGTTTGGCTCCGGTCTCGTAGATCTTTGAATAAATCTAAAAAAAATAGACAGATTTACAGATATAGATATGTTACAGATATAGATAAGTGTAAAACTGCTCATTTCTCTCTCTCTCTCTCTCTCTCTTTCTCTTTCTCTCTCTTCTCATGAAGAAAAGTTATAAATGAATTTTATGTAAGAGATAAAAATACCCACAATTCAAATTTTTTTGACAAACTGCGTATATAACTAAAAAAAATTATCTGGTGATTGTATTGTAGGTTTTAGATCATTCAGAATATACAGGGTGGTCCTTAAGTAATTGTACAAAATAGTAGAAATAGTAGATTCAACAATTTAAAATATTACGATTTAAGCCAACTTGCCTTTATAAAATATCGATATTAAGAAATATACAGAGTGTTAAAGTGCAAGTTTAAAATTTTATTTTTCGCTATAACTTTCTCGTTTGTACCTATTTATGAGTAGGAGGACTTATAATTTGATGCATACTTGGATATAGCTGATAGAGGGTGCCACATAATGCCATATATGTGACTTAAATCTGCGCTTAACTTTTTTGCTCTTTAAATGAGAGCTATTTATGTTAAAAAATATTAAAGATACATTATGTTAACAAAAAAAAAGAGGTATATTTGTTAATAACTTCAAAACTTGAAAGTTTTAGAGTTAATCACATTGTACAAATTAGCTGCATAATTCTGATTTAACGCAATTACTACAGGCAATGAAGAAAAAATGGACAAAACCATCAATATTTCTGTATTTTTTGTATGAAATACCTTTTATTAAAGTTAATAGTAAAATAGGTTCCACAAAGATCATGTCATATTAAATAGCATAATTGGTTCAAAAGAAACTGCTGTAGTATTTATTTCTTCCCAAGGTTGGTTGCGAATATTGATGGGATTCGTATAGACACGTTGTTTCAATGTGTCCCATATACCAAAATCGAGCGGATTAAATTCTGGACTACGTGGTGGCCAAGGAAAATCACTACCAAGACCAATCCAAAGTCAAGGAAATTTGGTATTTAAGTATGATCTCACTGCCCTAGTATAATGTGGTGGTGCACCATCTTGCATAAACCACATATTTTGCCTTAAGTTTAATGGCAATTCTTCCAACAAATCAATAAAATCATTTTGTAAAAAATGTAAATAGTTTTCACGAGTCAAATTACGAGGTAACTCGCATAGCCCTTTAAACGATTACCAATGATTCTACATAATACATTTATTTGAAATTCATGTTGGAGATGTCTTTCTTTCTCAACATTAGGAAGTATTACAACAAATATCGATTTTTCGTGGATTTTTTTTTCACAAATTGTTTAAACAAATTACACTATTTATTAGTTAATTATATTTGTAATGTACGCGAATAATATATGCAAATTAAAAAAAGAAAGATTAAAATCCGTTGAATAGATCCGGAGATATTAACAATTGTAGTAGGTTGAAGATGCGTTTTCATTTTTTAAATGCGTAGAATTGTTGGTTACCCCTCCATTCAGTTCACTCTTCACTCACCACTATTGTTCTGAATTTGAACCATATTTTTTACAATTCACAGATCCTGTTATAGTGCATTGTTTGTAAAATTAATTTAGCAAAAAATGGTTGACTTCAATTAGTGGGGTCGTAAATGTTATTAAATTTATCTGACTTGGCCCATTGTTAAGACCTTGTACCTCAGGTAAATCATTGTTACCTGAAGCCGGGCCTTTTATACTATTATCCGTTAACCCAGGATGTTTACAGTCGATACGAATTGAAGTCAACCATTTATTGCTAAGCAAACTTTACAACTTTTTGTACAAAAACTACGAATCCTTTTCTTTCATATGTCGAAAATCGCGTTTCTTAATTGTTATAGATAAATTACCTCTGAATTAAAAAAAAACTAACTTTGTCCCAAATTACCTTAGAACAACTTTTTAATTCGTGTAACAATATCAGCTTTTCGGATATAAAAAAGATTTTATCTTCGACCAATAGTTTAAAAGTTATTCTAAATGTTTATAAATAAAAAATATCCGTAATATATAATAACCTTACAAAAGGTTTTTATGTTGTTTTTTTTTTCACTTTTTTGGTTTATATTGATAGATTAACTCTTAAACTTTCATTTGGTATGCGTAGAATTACTGTATCTCCATTATTTTCTGACTAATGTAACTGCAACAAAAGGTTTCTGAGATAAACAAATAGAAACACTTTTCGACTAATTAATAGATCTACCTGAAATTTTGAGTTTATTAATTACCACAATATCCAACTTTGTGCGGAATAACAAATTCCTAGGTTGATTTTTACAACAGTTATAAACAAATAACGTTTTTGCCTATTTTTTACTGTTTTTGAAGCAACAAATTAATTTTACAACTTTTAAAAACCACCATTTTATGGTTTTTTATTGTTTAATATCGTTATACTTTAAAAGATAAAGTTTTGTAATGTTACCTCAAATATCAAGCTGTTCAATGGTAAGGAAAAAATCGAAAAAATGGCATTTTTTACACTAAATTGTTGATAATTAAAAAAAGACGCAGAAATTTATGCGAAAGACATATATGTTTTCTTTAGATAGGCCTATACCTAATAACTAAAAGAAATGTTATACGAGGTTAGATTGATATTAAACTAGCCTTGATACCGAATTGGTTTCGGTATTGACATTTGGCATTCATGAAATGACGTCTGTCAAAATTTTAAGTTTTAAAAACAATTAGTTTGGTTTTTACTCCCGTCAAAATCAGGCAAATTTTGTGTTTTCGGAGAAATGGAAAAAGTCGAGTATCGTTCGGTGATTAAGTTCCCCCACAAAAAAGGTAAAACGAATGTGCAAATCAAAGCCAACCTGGACGAAGTTTATGGTAAGGTTGCACCTTCGTTAGCAACAGTAACATTTTGGAAAACTGAATTTGTTCGTGGTCGTACGAGTGTTTTTGATGAAGGGCGACCCTGGAGGCTAAATGAAGTCATCACGCCGGAAATGATCAACAAAATCCATGCATGATTATGGCAGATCGTCGAATTAAGCTCCGGAGTTAATAGAGGCCTAAACATTTCCTACGAACGCATACACAACATCATTCACCATCATTTGAACATGAAAAAGCTATCCGCGCGATGGGTGCCGTGTTTGCTGACAATCGATCAAATGCAAAAACGTGTGACCACTTCGGAGACGCTTTTGTCGATGATACGGCGCGATCCGAAGGATTTTTTTTGACGATTTTTTTCGACGATTTATCACCGTTGATGAAACCTGGGTGCATTATTACACACCGGAAACTAAAGATCAGTCGAAACAGTGGCGCAAATGCGGAGAAGGGCCGCCGAAGAAAGCAAATAGTGCACATTCGGCCGGCAAAGTGATGGCGACTGTTTTCTGGGATGCGAAGGGAAGGATCATCCACATCGACTACTTGGAAAAAGGGGAAAAACAATCAATGGTAAGTACTACGCAGCATTATTGGATTGATTCGATGCCGAATTGCGTCGAAAATGCCCCGGTTTTGAACGCAAGAAAGTGCTCTTTCACCAAGACAATGCACTGGCTCACCGATCGGCCGTCGCCATGGTAAAATTACACGAATTGGGCTATGAATTGGTTGAACACCTACCGTATTCCAAAGATCTTGTCGCCAGCGATTTTTTACTGTTTCCAAACCTAAAAAAATTGCTCAGAGGACGCCGTTTCGCAACAAATGATGAAGTCGTCGCTGAAACTTCGGCTTATTTTGAAGAGCTCGAGCAAAAGTACTATTCGGATGGGATAAAAAAATTCGATCTTCTCTTCAGTTCATGAGTCTGGTTATCCCTGCCAATCATAATTTCATGTCCCAGGTATTTATATCTATCTACGAGTTCTATTTCTTTCCCACCAATACTGATGTTCTGGTTGGGTACTTCTCCATCTATTTTTATTCCCTTTGTCATCCAATCCAAATTCTTAAAAGCATGTTCTAGCATGCCTCCGTATTAAAAAGTTTAGGTGACATTGGGTCTTCTTGTCTAACCCCCCGTTCTATTTTTATGCGATTACTCTTAGTATACCTAGATTAGTCACATTCCCGAGAAGAATCTTATTTCCGCGGTCTAATATTGAATTGAATTAAATGATATATGTTCATGTACCTTTATTATTTTTGCAGGAGCAAAAAGCAAATAAAAATCATGATTTGATAATCCACACAAAAAAGGAATTTCACAAAAACAGCTTTCAAATGTACAATTAGTATGTATATACATATCTGCTTTAATAATCCACCTTTTAATGAAATTTCACCGAAACAATATCGTCAAAACAATATTACTCTAGTGGAATGGAATTGATATTTTAGTAAAAATTTGATTATACACATATTATTTGTCTGCAAATATGGAATACAGTGCTTCGTATAATAAATTTTTCACAATATCTAAACCATATGCCATAACAATAACATTTCTGGTCAAAACGTTTAATAATTAATTACTTTAGAACTGTTAAAATGTATTGCAAAATAACGTTAATATGCAATAAATTTAATAAATCTTCATAACATGTCACTCTGATTTCATATCCATAAATATAAATTTACTTATTTTTTAATATAAATCAATGTTGCTCGACTTAATCTAATAACGTCAAATCTAAATACAAGATGTAATAAAAATCGACGTTTAAATATATCACAGAGGAAATTAAAAAAATCCAATATACGCATAAATTGAATAAATGGAACGCTCTGGTATACGATCATGGATAAAAATATCTTTCATTAGAATTAATGTACTTCGTGGCATTAAATATTTGATTCAGTAAATTAGTACTGTAAAGTGATACTAGTAGTAAAGTTTTGGGGAAGTTCTGATTTTTTCATTCCATATGTGTTTTGGGGTGCTAAATCTGAATCTGAGGTTTGCGGACAAAATTTCGTGACGCAACATTTAAAAAACCAGAAGAAATCGGTTTTTTTTTGCTTTTTTTCCGGTTTTTTGCTTAAAACTCGAAAACTGTTAACTTTTAGTAAATGGTCTGTTT